AAACAAATTCTAACTGAAATTCACACAATAATAAACAATGGTAATTGTAATAATTAAATCAACAAAAATTAGAGCTACCAAATTTTCGCCCCTTTTCCCTCGCGATAAGAAACCCTCAACCAATTCCGATCAGCGCCTCCTCATAATCCGGTTCTCTCGCCTTCCTCGGTGACGGAGATGTTACGGCCCGTGGTCGTTCTTGACCACCTGGTTCACTCCTGGTGATGCGCGCCCCTGATTTCGCCACGGCAGGCCAGCGGCCGATAGTCCGTTCGATTGGTTGCAGGTGGGGCTTCAGTTGGTGGTGGCGACCCTCCGGTCGACGTCTGGTCGGCGATTCGAGATACTCGTTTCTCAATTGCCGGCGGGAGCTGCTTGGTGGAGGTAAGCCCTTCAATTTCCTCTTGTTTGCGGTCGGGTTGCGGCTTTCTGGTGGGACTTCGCCGTTCTGGTGGGGCCTGACTTCTGGACGATGATATTCTGTGGTGTATTGGGTGGTGCGTGAGCTGTTGGGCGGGCCAGGACTCCGGTGCTGCGGCAGGCCTGCTGCAGTAGTTGGGGTTGAGGGGCGCGCCACTCTCACTCTCCCCCGTGCGGCTAGTGGTGTTAGGCGGCGGGGGGATGGGTTCTCTCGAGCTCGACTAGTGGTGTTTGACGAGTTCGGGTGGGTCTGGTGTGGGGGCTGGCCGTTGCTCTTTTGGTTGGGGATGGGTTGACTCGGGGATTGATTTTGGGGTTCGGTTGATTCTACTGTATAGGCGTTATCGCAGTTTCGGTAGCCGTCACCCGAGCCTGGAATCTTTCCTGTGTTGATCGCTCACTGCGGGTCTAGCTCTTTCGTTTGCTGGGGAAGGGCTCTGTTTTATTTTCTTTTATTTTGTTGCTTGAGTCTGTATTAGTTAAGTGTTTTTGGTCTGGGTTCTTTACCTGAGTGTTTTATGTCTTGTCTCTTTGGTCTGGGCCGTTGGCCTCTGTGTGAGCGGGAGCAATTGATAATCCTGTGGGGACCAGCTCCTGTCTCTATTCTCCTATGGGGAGCTTTGTAGTTATAGATTTTCTGTGTATTATTTGTGTGGTTGTCGCGAGTGTCTTGTTTTGGTTTCTAGCGTTGCTAGTGTCGGGTTTCTAGGCGGTCGTCAGACCTGTCCTCCCATTTTATTCAGCTTTGGGCTGCGTTCCAAGTTGTATCTTCGCACGTTTGTGCGTTTGTTATATAATTTCTCTATCGTTTTGGCAAAAAAAAAAAATCAACAAAAATTTCAATATAATTTAATTTGATCTCTATTAGACAATGAAATTTTTCAAAGAACACTACATCAATGAAATATTCGTTGCAATTTTCAGTGGAATACCTACAATTTTTCTATTAAAAATATATTTAACACATGAACTTTTTAGTCCATATATTTTTTTAAAATCACTCATTATTTTACCTCAAAATTACCTATTAATTTCTCAATTGAGTTAATTCTTACATATTAAATATTAAATAATATAAATAATTATTATTTTATATATGTAATATGATATTTAATATTATATTAAAAAAAGAAAATAAAAGATTATTTAAAATTAAAATAATCATTTTTTTTCTAAAAATAAAAGTTCTAACCTACATGGATAAATAACCTACATGGATAAAAGCACAAATAACTATTGTCTAATACCTAAAACTTACATATAGAACTAATAAGCATAAACAATTAACAAGCATTGAACAATTCAGTTCATTTGCATCGATAAGTACAATTTTAAAAGTTTTATATTTATTTTATTAATTATAACATTTTTATTTATTACTTTTTTTCATATTTATTAGTAAGTATGACAACTTAATTATATTTTTTATAATATTTAGTAAATTTTATATTTTTGTACTTTATATTGTTCTTTCATATGTTCTTCACCTAATGGTCAGGTGAAAATCGTTAACTTTATTGGCCTTGTGATCAAAATTGGAAAAAATAATCAAATAAATACATAAATAACGCTTTTTTGTGGGATAAAAATTCAATTTAATAAATATAAGGTGCAATTTCTAAATATAAGATTTTATTTTTCTTAAATAACGAAGTGGCTAAATGAATTGATCCACTTTTCTAGTTTGTTAGAATATGCATATATATTCGCTATACGAATGAATATTATTCGTTGCGATTTTCAGTGGAATATCTGACCGTTGTAAATGAGAAAAAAAAAAAAGCGAATCTGAATATTATTAAACACTTCTTTATATACAACATTCGTGGTTTTCACATTGTCAGAATCTCCATCACAACAAATCATTATCGTTAAATCTCTTCGACTCATGATTCTGGAATATGATTTTACAAAATATTTGATGTGTCCCGAAAAAATATTTTTTTATCATTGTATGACTGCAATAGAAAATAGAGATATTTGTAGTCATTTTTAATTAGTTGTGAAATATGTATTTATATAATACCAAAAAATATATAGTATCAAAATAAAAACTAAAATATTTTGTATTTCAGGACATAAAAAGGCGTTACATAAATGAGCACCATTCAAAATGAGACCCGTCAAAATAAATTGTGTAACTTAAAGTGACATATTATTATTAAATGGTGAACTTATTTTTATTACATGAACACCTATTTTTATTAAATAAACTCATATTATTATTAATTGTTGGCTTAATAAAATTTATTGAAGTTTGCCAGCATATATATATATATATATATATATAGATTAAAGTAATTACGATTTTATATTAAAATTATATTAAAAATAAGGATATTTTTCAAAACATCAATTATGTATCTTTTCAAAGTTTTGTTGTCTGGGTTGATTTTTTGGAGTTTTGAAAGAAAGCAGTTTGACAGATATGTGAAAGAAGCAAATTCGTCAGGAATAATGGTATGAGAATTTTGAGGCTGATTTTTAGGAGATCTAGAATATTTTTTCATGTATCTATATTTATTTAACTAAATATTAATTATTATTGATCAACTTTTCTAGTTTTTTAGAATATGTATATTTATTCGCTATACCAATGAATATTATTCGTTGCGATTTTCAGTGGAATGTATGACCGTTGTATTTATTATTACAATATAGCAATTGTTTGTGTATTCTTTCTTAAACATTAAAACTTTCATGTAGTAGTTTTAGTTATTAATTAAAGTAATTAAAATTTTATATTAAAATAATATTAAAAATAAGAATATTTTTCAAAACATCAATTATATATCTTTTCAAAGTTTTGTTGTCTGGGTTGATTTTTTAGAGATATGAAAAAACAGTTTGACAAATATGTGAAAGAAACAAATTCGTCGGATAGTTTTTGTTATTAATTAAAGTAATTATGATTTTACATTAAAATAATATTAAAAATAAGAATGTTTTTCAAATCATCAATTATATATCTTTTCAAAGTTTTGTTGTCTGGGTTGATTTTTTGGAGATATGAAAAAAAAGTTTGACAAATATGTGAAAGAAGCAAATTTGTGAGGAATAATGCTATGACCTGATTTTTAGGAGACTAATTTGCCATTAAAAATAAGTCAAAGTAAATGTTTTTTAGGTAGTTCATTTATTAATTAAAAATTTATGACTACAATTTTACACTAAAATTTTATTAAAATAAAGACGTTTTTCAAAACATCAACTATATATCATTTCATAGTTTTGTTGGGTTGATTTTTGAGAGATATGAAAGAAAACAGTTTGACAGATATGTGAAAGAAGCAAATTGGTGATGAATAATAGTATGAGAATGTTGAGATTGATTTTTGGGAGAGCTGAAATATTTTGTTCATGTAACTATATTTAATTAATTAAATATTAGTTATTAATTAAAAAATATAAGATGATTATTGGTGTAGTATTAATTTGTCATTCAAAGTAAGAGTTTTTTACGCAGTTTCATTTTGTTAATTAAAAATATAAAATAAGATGGGTATTCTTGTATTACTAATTTGCCATTAAAAATATGTTAAAATAAGGGTTTTTAGGCAGATCATTATTTTTACAAAATCACTCGTTCTTTTATAATAATATAGATATAGATAGATATAGATAGATATAGATAGATTTTGATTGTGGCTTTATTTCCACCCATTTGTTCTGTTTCTATCTAAAAGATAACAAACTTGCATAAAAACAATGTCATTTTCTTTATTAGCAACATGATCAAATGCCATATGGACAAATTTGTTACCGTTAAAACAATTTCCAGAAAATTGTTTCTTAAAATTTTTTTTCTTTGGCCACAATCCAACTTTACCATACTTTTTGTTATTACTTTTACGTGAGTTTTTACCATACTCAACAACATTGGTTTTGGCGAAAGAAGGATAAAAAATTTATTGTAGTAGGCTTTATTATCTTCTTCAATACAAAGTCTAAAGACGAACTCTTCAACAATAATCGCTATATTCTTATGCAACAAATAATTTTTTAAATTTTTTTCAGATCGGTGCAAGTTTTGTAATTATTGCGGTCACTTGGAAAATTTCATTCACCACCATTCCCTTTGAATGGATATCATGCAAGATTATTTGAAGCTCTTGCACTTGACTGATTACAGTCTTCGAGTCTACCATTTTGTATTCCAGAAACCGGTCTACAAGAAATTTCTTGGCTCTAACGTCTTCGGTTTTATATTTTTTATCCAAGGACTCCCACAACTCCTTCGTTGTTTTGATAGAACTGAATACGTTGTACAAGTCAAGCAGTTCATCATATAATTTTTCATGTTCTGCATCTTTTTTTTTTCTTAAAATAAGATATTCCTCAAATATTTCTAGTATTAACGAAGTTTGAAAGGTATGATTTTTTTAGTATTTTTTTTTTAATTCCAAATTTGTTAAATATATGTTTTTATCGAAAAATATTTAATCCCCCAATTCATTTTTCTAGATCCGCCCCAGTTCGATATATTCTGTATTCACACATAATTTTATCAAGACATTAGCACTAAAAACACGTTATTCAACATCAATAACATTATCAACGCATTCTTGAAACAGAGAATTTCATNCCATGAAAAGAGCATCTACTTCGGGATTCATAACTCCATGAGCTTTTGCATATCCATCCCTACAATTCCTGTAGAAGACATCAGCTGCCCGAGCATAGCCAAGAAAATCCTCCACCACTTCCTTTGAAACCCCACTTTTAATGTCCTTTATCCACTCCGCATTCAAATCCTTCCATGCATCCTCTACTAGCTCCTCAAACTTCTCCCTAGCCTCTTTTATCGACCCACCGTGATGTCTCATGTAAATATCCAATGCCGTCAGTAGTGTGCCCTGCTGGCTCTCCCGCTGAGTGCATCCAAATAAAGTGAAAAAAAAAAATAGTTATTAACATCTGATTTAAAGTCCCAAAGAAAAAAAATAAAGATACTTAGAAAAAAAAACAGTTATTACTTCATGGCTGCCCAAGTCGTCCAAGTGACGGCAAATCATGGCTGAAGCCCGAATAATTTTGGGCTTGCTCTTGAACCAGTCTATGGTCTCCTTAGAAGCAGATTTTAAGCCCGGGATAGTAGCAGCGCATGTCACATACAGGACACTCGTGATCATTGTGTTCACAATGTAGTCCTCAAATGAAGACGTTGGCCCTCCCATAGTGTACTTTACCCCTTGGCAATGGGCTCTACATAACTCTTTCATCTATATATAAATTTGAAACGAAATAATTATGAAAATTCAAAATTTAGCAAGCTTGCTGAAATAGAATTTTTTTGAAGCGTGCCCATTGTCAATTTGTGTCTCCCCATTTCTTCCTTCAATTATTATATTTAATCAGGCTATTAATTTGTTCAATAAAAAACGGCTAGAACTAATTTCATTTTTCTTGTTCTCTGATTATATATATTTACTAGTTAGGAAAGTGGTAAAATGACCCATTTTCCACGACCCTTACAGTTTGTTTGGCATACGGAACAGCAAACAGTTTCCCTTGTTTAGCTGCGTCGATCTCATAATCGTCAAACATTCTCAAAATACACCTGTAGAGAGGTTTCATATAATCCGGAAGCCGATTGATCTCATCAATGTTCCACCTGAGAAAAATGATTAACAATATTACATATGCTACTAGTTGTATGCAAATAAGAAAGTTAACTACACACACATATAAAATAATAATAATAATAATAATAATAATAATAATAATAATAATAATAATAATAATAATAATAAATAAAAGAGGAAGAAGAGAAGCTATTCATGGTAATGTTAGTTATATATATATATATATATATATATATGTTGATGAATGATGATACACCTTTCCATAGTCTCTGCAAAAATGTCTCCTTCTTCAACTGTGGCATAATTATCATAAGTATCGTCCAAAACAGTTAGCATTTGGATGTACTTGGCGAATGCCACTCGAACATATGAATACTGAGGTTCAAAATGATGAGAAGTTCCCCAAAGATAGGCCTCCACCACTCTGTCTCTTGCATATGGCAGATGAGGGTTCAATTCGGTCCACCACCTTTAACAAAAAATAGTAATATAAGGTTATTGTTAGGTAACTCTAAACTTCACACAATCATACTATTTCATACAGTATATCAACAGATATACATACTTTTAAATTAACCTGTCATATTTTAAAATAATATTAAAAAAAGTACTCCATTTCCATTTCATAGTATAAGTATGCATTTTTGTTAAAGACAGTATTAATGGTCGTCTCGCCTAATAGTTATGTCGTGTCGAGCAAGAATTTGTGTGAAAGGATTGCATTACTAAATTGAACTCGAATCTACTGACGAATTGATTACCGTGTGACTTGACCCAGCTCGTCCTTGTAGATATTCTGCACGTAATTGAAATCCAATTTGGCTAGTTTCAGAAGTTGCTCGTTTCTTGAGTCATCTTTCTCGTAAGACCAAATATAGTGACGAGTTTCCATTCTCTGAATGCCCCTATGTAGGGGTCTCTCTAGAGCTCTCTTCACTTGGGCTTGGAGTGCGGGCTCCAAATCGTGTACCATGCGCCTCAGATGACGGGCCGTGAAGGTCACCGCCTCATCCAAGATTTCTTCTCCATGTGTTCTTAAGTGGGCTGCTTCATATAAGCTCAGTAATCCCTTAGCATCATTCTCAATGTTTTCGCTGATTTTTTTCTCCTTTTCAATGAACTTGTCAAAGAAATCTGATCCAGTATATATACAGTGTTAATTTAAGGTCGTGATGTGTTGATTTTGATAGTTAAAATACTTTTCATGAAGGTATTATATATTTGTAAGAAAAAAAAATGGTTTAACATATCTATACTATTATAAGAGTATGAGTCGTTGTGTAAAATGCTACGGTTATTCTAATGGAGATCATCTCTCAAATATTTCGTTTTCGTTGGAATTAAATTTCTCTTGGATTTTAGTTGGAATTTGATAATTCCAACAACCATTTTTTTAATAGTTTATTATCGTAAGAATTTTTGTTGGAATATGCAATTTCTGTTAGAATTATTATTTCGTAAAATATGTCAACCGTTGCAAAATTTGTCGTCGGAATCATCCAAATTCAACAGAAATTCCAATGAAAAGTTCATTTCGACAAAATTTTTTCGTTGTAATCCGTAGAAAAATTCCAACGGACAAAATAACATTAGAATATCTATTGAAATTTTTGTTGGGATTTCACTAGAATGATTTTTGTAGTAATTTCATCATTTTCTTGTAATGTATATAAAAACATATTCCTGTTTAAGCTGAATTTTTTCCCGCTCTTTTGACTCACTAAAATTGAAAGTTTTTATTATTTTCTTTTTTAAATCCATTTGCACTAAATATCAAGTTACAAACCCAAGACAAGAAAGTCTTTAAGATTCTCAAATGAATACACCCCTTAATATTTATTATTGATATAATTGTTTAAATCCTATATCAGGGTTGCTAATATATGGTTTGAAAAAATATATTTTCTCAAATGATATTGTAAATAGTTGTTTGAAATTATTTAATGATAATATTATTATTATTATTATTATTTTTCTTCACAGGTATGCTTGGAGAAAATATAGAGATAAATTTATTCTAAAAAGTTTTACGTTATTTGCCACATAAGATTCCGAAGCATGCGAGCATGCCACTTAGATTCAGCACGTTCTGAATTAATATATAGGAGAATATTAATCATGCGAGACACAAAATGAACAATGTTCAATTTGAGTTGCTCATTTTCCAAAAATTGTATAACTAAAGTCAACTTACCACAAGAGACGTAACTGCCATGTTGCCTCAAAAGACGAAACCAAAGTGCAGTAGTGAACAAGTCGTAGTCTTCATGTTCCGAATCGAATTCGGTCAAGATATCTCGAAGTTGCTCCTCAATCTCCTGTTCAAAGTGATATCCGACTCCCAAACGTTCGAGTGTGTCAATTAGTTGTAACCTCTCGCTGATTGTTTTCCCTTCAGCCTGTATCAACATGCCTCTTGCTTCTTCTTTGAGTTCTGCAATGGCTTCCGCATACTTCTCTTGAACCTGCACATACATGTATAAAAATATGTATTTAGGTAATTCTAATATTAATGTCATGTATAATTGTACATGATCATACCTGATGGTCCAAAGCAAAGGAGGAGAAAGTATCGCCCCACTTGCTTTTGGTGCAAAAACCAATGGGCGGCCGGCCGTTTGGCCAGCTTGAAGGAGGATCAAACATACCCGCTGCAGCCATTTTTTGCTTTTTTTGCTTTCTTCTTTTTGAATAAAGAGAATTAACTATTTGCTAGATGATGATATTGTGAAGTGCCCAAGGTACAGTTATATATAGGTATATAAATTATCATCGCATCACCACTTGGTGACTAGGAAGTTTGTCTTATACTTGAATTTTATTTTCTTTGTTATATATATATATATATATATAGAATGGTAAATAATTAGACCATAGTATGGGCTTGTACTAACTCCATTAATATTTAAAAATATTCTAGATCATAGTATGGGTTTGTACTAACTTCACTAATATTTAAAAATATTTTGGAGATCGATGGGAGATTTGTGTGTGTATAGTATATATGGGATGGTCCTAACTGCTTAAATAATTGGATGATAATCTATATCTATCTCTCTATCTATATCTATTCTATATTTATATCTATATCTATCTATATCTATATCTATCTATCTATATCTATCTATCTATCTATCTATCTATCTATCTATCTATCTATATCTATACTACTCTAAAAGGACGAGTGTTTTTATAAAAATATGAACTACCTAAAAAACCCTTACTTTGGCATATTTTTAATGGCAAATTAGTAATACACTAATACACATCATATTTTATATTTTTAAATATTAAAATGAATTACCTAATAAGCCCTTACTTTGACATGTTTTAAATGGCAAATTAGTAATATATTAATATCCATCATATCTTATATTTTTAATTATAACTAATATTTAATTAATTAAATACAAATACATGAACAAATCATTCCACACTCCTAAAATCAACTACAGTATGTTGGTTTGGCACCATTATTTCTCACGAAATTGTTTTCTTCCACATATCTCTAAAACTGTTTGATAGGATATAGAATTGTTGTTTTGAAAAACGTCATTATTTTTAATATAATTTTAATGGTAATATTGTAATCACATTTCATAACTCTAATATATAAAAGTTCCTTAAAGAAATTAAAATTGATCCAACAAAAAAAGCATAATAAACACTTATAAAACTAGAAATCGATATTATTTTTTTCTCATAACGACCACAAAGTATAGAAACATTATTTTCAAAATAACCTATACAAAATGTGTAATAGTATGCGAGATTAATTGTTAAATGATTGTTCTGCAACCTAAACTTCTAATCAATTCAATTTCTTCGATACATAAGACTAGAATAATTTTATGAAATTGTATAATACTAAAACTTAATTTATTTGTTTTCACGTTAAATGAGATACCACTTTAGCAACATGGATTAATTTTAACCATATAATTATCTACAAATAAATTAAAAATATCTCGAGAATCATAATATGATTTACATGTTGAAAATTAATTATTTTAATCAAATAATTATATTCATATATTATCATTACTCATCTATCTATTAATATGTGTTATTATAATAAAATAATTTTTAAGAAAACAATGTACGGAATAAAAAATTTATATATTTGAGTATAAATGAGAAGATTATAATTATATATAATATAATATAAAGATATAAAATTAATTGATATAAATAAGACATATGATTAAAAAAAAGTGTTATACTTTAATTTTATGTATTTTTTAAAAAACCTAAAAGTTATACACACACACACATATATATATTAAAATACATTTGAAAGAATAGTTTAAAGTTAAAAAAACAATAAATCTAATAAATAATATTAAATTTATAACTAAGTTGTAATACTTACTAATAACTATGAAATTAGTAAAAGTATTTGTAGAACTTTTAAATTTGTATTTATCGATTTAAATGAGCCAAATTGTTCACCACATGTTAAATATTTCCGCTTATTAGTTCAATGTATAAATTTTAGACGATAGACAATAGTTATTTATACTTTTATCCATGTAGGTTAGAAATTTATTTTTATTTTTTTAAATAAAACTTTGATAATTTTGATTTTAAATAACGTTTTGTTTGCTATTATTTTTTTAATATAATATATAAATACCATATTATATATATACAATAATACTTTTTATTATTTGATATTTAATGTGCAAGAAATGTAACTCAATTGATAAGTTAATAGGTAGTCTTGCGATAAAATAATGAGCGATTTCTAAAAAATATATGGATTAAAAAGTTCATATGTTTAATATATTTTTAATAGAAAAATTATAAATACATCTAATTTTAACAAAAACTTCTACATAAAAAATATAATTTATAAAGGAATAAAAAAATGGTACATTGCAATGAAAAATCCAACGGTAAGACATCCACTGAAAATCCCAAATGATATCTTATTCTTATAGCTGTCATTGTAAAATTCCATTGACTATTCCGAGATCAAATTACATTATTCCAACAGATGGAAAAAATGTCACTGGAAATGTAAGAATTTCAATGGAAGTTCTATTCGAAATCTACCTGCAGTGGTGGATACAAAATAATTTCATACTTGAGGCATTATTTAGTTAATAGAAAAGGTATACCAGTAAAATAACATAATGTCATTATAATTTATAAATTATATTTTTAATAATTTGTCATCTTTCTCATCTATAATATATGTTACACATCAACATAGTTACAATTAAAAAAAATAACTTTTCTCAATTTAACATAAGCATATAATTGAAAATAATTATGTTTTTTAAAATTTTATGAACAAAAGTTGACTCGACAATATTATTGATGAATTTATGAATTATAAATATTTAATTGTATAATAATTAAAAAAAATTGTAATTAAATATAATATAATATAAGATATACAAATTATTGATATATAATGAGACAGATGGTCGAAACAATTCTAGATTTTATATCATGCATTTTTTGACAAATCTACAGTTAAGAACATGTAAAAGAACAAGATAAAAGTTTAAAAAAAATATTAAATATGATAAATAATATTAAAAATAAATAAGTTGTGACACGTACTAATAAATATGAAACAAAGTAATAAATAAAAATGTTATAATTAATAGAAGAAATATAAACCTTTTATAACTATACTTATCGACGTAAACGAGCTGAGTTGTTAAACGCTTGTTAGTTTTTTCTCCTTATAATTTTATGTGTAAATTTGATGTGATAGACAATAGTTATTTGTACATTTATTCATTTAAGTTACCAAAAAAAAAATCTTTATTATTCTAATTTTAAATAACTTTTTATTTGCTATATTATTTTTTTTAATATAATATATAAATATCATATTGAACATATAAAATAGGAAATATTCTAATTTTTAAATATTTAATATGTAAGAAATGTAACTCAATTGGTAAATCAATAGGTAATCTTGAGATAAAATAATGAGTAATTTCTGAAAAAAAAAATATATGAACTAAAAAGTTCATGTGTTTAATATATTTTTAATAGAAAAATTGTAAACACAATTAATCAATAAATACTACATAAAAAATTAATGTTTAAGAGGACTACAACAAATTGCTATATTGCAATGAAAAAATCAACGGTAAGGTAATCTACAGAAAATTCCAACGAATATTTCATAAATATTGCTTTTATTGGAAAATTTCATTGGCTATTCCAACAAAGTTCAAATTAAATTACTTGAACTTTAGTGGATTTAAAGATTTCAATTAGTTGAATTTCCATTGGATTTTTTTTGGATCATATTTCAATCGTTGGAAAAACTGTCATTGGAATTATGCAAAAATTCAATGGAAATTTCATTGGAAAGCTAATTGCAGTGATAGATCTAAAATAATTTCATATTGGGGGCATTATTTAGTTAATAGAAAAAATATACCATCAAAATAACATGTCATTGTAATTTATAAATTAATATATCACCTTTCTAATTTTGTAATATATTTTAATAAATCAATACAGTCACAATAAGATAAAATATATTTAAGAAACCAAAAGACATGATTTTTCTCAATTCAACTTAAGAAGATCGTTATATTCTTGTTGTAATTTTCGTTGAAATTTTCTCATTTTCTTGTAATAAAAGTAGGACTCCAAATCTATTAAAAAAAAATTGTATTATTATATAATATTTTGTGCAACTATTATTATGAAAATTTTGATATGATAGAAAATATAACACATTCAATGTAATTGTCGTTTAATTTATGATAATAAGTAATTTTTGTTTCAAAACAAACAAGATACTTTGAAAGGTCCTTAATTATTTTATTAGTATTATAATAACTAAATAAGGGGTAAGAATGATGAGAAAACTTATAGCTCTCATTAAATCAAAGAGTAAAAATACTGATAAAATTACTTAATGTACAATATCAATTGGAGCTGGATAATAAGAAATATAAAATATACTTAAGATACACATATATTTTAACTAGAACTTTTAGGTATACATTTCTTTAAAATTGGGTATGTTAATCTTAAAATTTTTTAATTAAAAATTTAATTACTTTCTCTCATTAAATTTTTTAATTTTGTGATACTTCATATTTTTTATTTGTTACTCTTTTTATATGTAATATATCACATTATTTCTTTTCAATAATGTTTGAGTTGACCAATATATTGCAAATAAAATAAAAATAATATAATTATTTATATCGATATATATATATATATATATCAGTAATAATTTTAAAATAATAAATTGACCTAAAATTATAGTATATATTAATTTATTTATTCAAGTTAAATCAATTTTATTAAGTATAAAATAACATAAGATAAACTTGTGGTATATTTTTCTTACATTTTTCTTACATAGATTTGAAACAATTCATATTAAAAATAACATAAAAAAATAGATGTAAACTTACAACTATTCCCACATTTTGGCTAGAGCGCCAATTCCCGATATATATTTGCCACTGGTTTGCCGTAATGCTGAAACTATGGCGAATGCACCTTAGGTACAAACGAAGCGAAGCGAAGTGAAATCATAGATAAAAGAAGGAAGAGACTAGGCCAGAGAAGGGAAATGAGATAGCATTAGCTATTTGAATTAAAAAGACAAATAAATGAGTTGTACGTTAAACTATTATTCAATTACTGCTTGAAAAAGAACCCTATAAAGGTGGTACCATATATGTATTCAGTGATTATAAAAATGACTTAGTTACCTAATATTTTATCAAACATTGGAAAAAATTGTAAACTTTTTAATCTAATAATTGTATAAAAAGTACATTTTTATCAAATATATTAAATTT